CCCCCCCCCCCCCCCAGGAGTCCTTCAACAACGTCAAACAGTGGCTCCAGGAGATTGACCGCTATGCCAGTGAGAACGTCAACAAGCTGCTAGTAGGCAACAAGTGTGACCTCACAACAAAGAAAGTTGTGGACTACACCACAGCTAAGGTGGGTGGGTAGCATGCTGACACAGCAGCCTGAGCAGGAACATGGGTGACGCTTTGATTTAATATCTTCCACTCAAGTAACAGCATGAATATTACAGAACTGTTGGATTAGACTGACTTGGTTTGAGCTGGGGGTTCCTAATAAACTGACCAGTGCATTAAGAAACACTGATTGTCTTTAATGGAAATGTCTTAAAGCACATTGAATTCAGTTCCTTCAGAAAGTTCCCAGGAGGTCTTCAAAAGTCTGGACCTCTGGGTCCAGATGTTTAACTCTGGAGCTGTCAGCCGCCCCACACAGTCTTCCTCAGTACTTGTCTTTGCTCCACAGGAGTTTGCTGACAACTTGGGGATCCCCTTCCTGGAGACCAGTGCCAAGAGCGCCACCAACGTGGAGCAGGCTTTCATGACCATGGCGGCTGAGATCAAGAAGAGGATGGGCCCTGGGGCCACGGCTGGTGCCTCCGAGAAGTCCAATGTCAAGATCCAGAGCAAACCAGTCAACACCTCGTCTGGAGGCTGCTGTTGAGACCCGGCACCTGCCACGCCCTGAATCCACCCCCCAGTCTCATATTACCACAGGGAAAGGAAACAGAGAGGGAGGGAGACTTTGACTGGACCGGTTTGTAATTGTGTGTACACCAGATCCCCCCCGCCCCACCACCCACCCTTTGAAAGTCAGCAAAAGGACGGTAAGCCCATCATCCCCACAGAACACACCGGGCCTGTCTTTTTTTCTTACTTTACCAAAACAAAATGTCCTCCATTTTTACCAGAGAGAGAAAACAGAAGTAAACGGCCTCTCTTCTTTGTTTGTTCAGCTGTGTTTGCCCTGCTCTTCTTTGTTCAGTGAGTCACTTTGTCACGCTGAAAGAGTCGTCTTTATTTGGCAGCCCTGGAGAGCGGCGCACCTCTGGCCCCGATCTCCTCTCATACACTGTTAAGACTTCAAATGCAGCACATGCTTAAACCAGCATCATGCATGTTACAGCTGATCACGTGCGCTCTCACTTGCATCTGGAATGCAGTCATGAGGCGAAGGCCTTCCTGGCCAAACTCCACCCAGGAAGTGCTCCCGTGACACCGCTCACTCCAACCTCAGTGTTGCCCCCAACTGCCAGTGCCTTTGTGGCAGGAGTTTCCCATGATGCCTTCGGTGCTGTGGTGTTGTCGGCATACTCCCCTCATATGCCCACAGTCATGACGTCCTGTGTATGGTAGCAGCTAACATTCCTGTGTATATACTGGGCTGCGTGTGCTCTGCTGGTCTCATACAATAAGCATGTGCTACATTGGGAGGCGCGACGTCAGCGTGCGCTTTTCTCTGCTAATGTTTCTCAACGACAGCACAACAGGAGGAAGTAAACCACAGCTCTGCTCCAGAATCATCTATAAACTGTATATATTTATACATAAAGGGAGTGATTTGCAGATAGTGTAGAGAAGTGAGGGAAGCGAGGGACATGATAAGTAGCTGGAATTAGGAAGCTCAGCACGTGATTGGTGGCTGCGGACGTGACATTTTTGTGGCACTCTGTCTACTATTAAACAATGAAGGAGATCTTTGATAACTGTTGGTCTTCATGGTGTTTTTTCCCTCTGCACATTTCACTCACTTGTTCTTGTGTCCATCCAGTCAGAGCAGCGTCTGCTGAGAGGAGCCTTGGTCTCCGGCCCAGGTCCCTGGGGCGGCTCGTGTTTCCTCTCACTGGTCACTTGGTTAGGACTGGGCCTCTGGGGGTCTTTACAAGTCTGTTTCCTCTGAAGGTTGCAGAAAGTCATTTCTTTTACAGAGACCTTTTATGTTCTAGCTACAGACATGAGTTATGAAATGTTTTTGGTCTGATTTCACCTCCACTGCTGCAGCACAGTAAAGAACCAGGATCTCATCTCAACACATCTCAAACCCAAAACAGCCAGAAGTGTTGTAAACAAAGCTACTTAGCATGAAACAGCGAACCTACTGTTTATTAGTGTGACTACTTTAGATGTTAGATTTGGTTACATGGCCGGGACAAAACGTCGCCTTGACATACGTCTCTAAATGTGCCAGTCTCCCGTGCCGTGAGCGCGGACGCAGCCCCGGCTTTTACACCTTTTTTTGATAACAGTCTGGACGGTCTGTTCCATCTCGGGCACGGAGAACCCGGCAGCAGTTTTTCCTGAAAACCAACTGGAACGCGGCCTCGTCCTGACCACAGAACACGTCTCCACTGCTCGTCGGTCCATCAGAGACGAGCTGGGCCCAGAGAGCTCGGCATGGAGCTGATGTCTGGCTTCCTCCTCGCGTAACAGTTTCAGGTTGCATTTCTGGATGCAGCAGTGGACTGTGTTACGTGGCTGCTGGCGGTTCCTCATGCAGCGACTCCTGAGGGCTACCAGGTCCCACGCATCCAACAGAGATGTTCGCCCTGGGCTTTTACGCGTGGAGGTTTCCCCGGGTTGCCTGAATCGTTTCGCCGCATCGTGTGTTGTAGGTGGTGAAAGACCTGAAGTGTTTGCGATGTAAGTGGTGAAGGTGGCTGCTCCTTGACCCAGTCATGATCCTCTCACCTGTTACCTTCAGCTCACCAGTTACCAGTTAACCTCCAGAACGCTGTTACTGGATTATTCTATCAGCCTTTCAGTCTTATTTAACCTCTGTCCCAACTTGGAGTGTTGCAGGCACCAAATTCTAAATTTGTTCATATTTACAAAGGTCATTTATGTTGGCCAGTGAAAACACTAAAAACCTTTTCTTTGTGCTTCCGTCAGTTCAGTAAAGGTTCAAGCAAATGAACACATCAGATGTTTTTATTGCATTTTGGAAACTTGATGGGGTTTGAAATCTGGGTTTCAGACAAAATGAGACACGGAGAGGTCACCTTGGGAGGTGAGAAATTACAAATGACATTTTTACTAATTGGTAGCTGTGATTGAATATTTATTAATGATACTGTTAGGAATTATTATTCAAAGCATAAATACAAGTGGGAAAACGACCTCGAGGCACACGCGCTTCTGCAGATTTGAGGAGCGAGCACAGCGAGCCGCACACGTGAGTATTGTAGAAACTGGTAATATGAACCTTTTACTTCAAGACTCTCCCCCCGGATAGAAAGTCCACATTACACTGAACGGACCTCGTGGTGTTGTGTGAAGCTGCAGCTCCCCACCAGCAGAGGTCAGTGTTGCCGTCCTGCACCCACTGAGGTTCGGCCTCCAAACCCCGTCGGGAGGAGCGGTGGTTTACGCGCCATCTCCTCCACACACACGCCAAACACGTGTGGGTGTTCAGAGCGGGGACCGGCAGCTTTCAGTCGCATTACATGGACTTCATCTGGAGCTTCATCCACAGCCTTATTGTCCCTGTTGGTCTCCATTCACAGGAGAAGTTAGACCATAATTATTGGTGCTCTCAGAAGTTAGACCATAATTATTGGTGCACTCAGAAGTTGGACCATAATTATTGGTGCACTCAGAAGATGGACCATAATTATTGGTGCTCTCAGAAGTTAGACCATAATTATTGGTGCACTCAGAAGTTAGACCATAATTATTGGTGCACTCAGGTTCATCATTTTAATGTCGCTGCAAACTGCTGACATTGTGAATGTAGTGTGGTCTTGACCTTAGTTATAATTATAGTGGACACAGTTTATTAAAGCTACAGTAGGTAAGTGAAGGCAGCACTGGCTGAAGCTCCAGGCCAGCCTCCCCTGCTCCACTACGACCTGCCCAGCTCTTCACACATTTGTCCTTATGAAATTACAATAAATGAGAATGCAACAAAATTCACTGATCAGTCAGAAATAATTGACAACCTCTGACTGGTCCGAGGTCAGTCCCGCTCTGATACCTCAGTGTTGCTGTTCAGTGAGTCTGGGTCACAGGAGGCAGCGACAGCCCCCCTCCACATTACAACACGTTTGGGAGCTGATTTCTACATTTGAACAAAAGTTTTATTGTGTAGCTTTAATTATATACTGTATTACAAATCTGAATCTTCAGAGCAACTTACTAACTTGGCTATTTCAAGTATATTTGGACGCTGATACTTCAGTAACATTTGAATGTAGGACTTTAATGTAACAGTATTTTTATGTTAAACTTGCCTTCATCACCTCTGCCCACAGTACATGATCCAGCAGTGCTAATAAAAGCAGAGCTGTGTGTGTGAGGGGCCCCGAGCAGTGTCTGTTCAATGACTTAACCTCACTATGTTACATCACAGAATGACGCTCCATGCTACAGAACATTGATCTCACCGCTACATTTAATATGGTACCTTACTAAGTCAACTGAATTCTTTTAATGCGAGTCATGAACAGCGTCAGGTCCAACAGGAACTTGACAGCAGATTGTTCTGTGGTCTTTCTGTCCAACAGCAGAGGTTGGGTTTTGTTTTGGTGGCACTTCCTGTCTTGACAGTGGAGCGACTGGAGGCGACACCACAGAGGAGTCTGCAGCCCGGACCCCTGCTCATACTGTGACTGAGAGCAGGCTGGGAGGAGTGGCGCTCTGTTGTCCCACTTTCTGTTCGGATTTGAACTGAGTGAACAAAGCAAGGCAGGCAAACTCTCTGGTGCCTCAGTGGGGCAGACCCAGACGAGAGTCCCAACATGCTGGAATCCACCACTCACAGAGTCCGGGTCTCTGAGTTGCTGCTGGTTGTTTTCCTCAAGTACATCTTCAACTCATTACCAACAATGATGAGGCCAACTACAGGAGTGAGGTGTGCCAACTGGTCCAGTGGTGTGAGGACAACAACCTCTTCCTCAGTGTGGGGAAGACTAAAGAGATCATTGTGGACTTCAGGAGGAAACCTCTAAAGCATCTCTGAGGACCTCTCCTGGACCAACACCACCACATCACTGGCCAAGAAGGCTCAAACACACCTCTACTTCCTCCACAAACTGAGGAGAGCCAGTGCCCCACCCCCCATCATCCCAGAATCTAAAAATGCTTTGTGTTTGCTCAAAAAGCTCAAATTCAGCTGAAGCTCTGATGCCTAAGGTCTGAGACTTAGAAGAATAACAGCAACCTTTCATGTAAGAAACCACAGAGGTGTCTTCATCTTTATGATGCACATGTTCATGTCATGTTTCATTTTCACTTGTTCCCTGACCTGAGTCCATGGGAATGGACATGAGGTCGCTGTGACCTTGACCTTTGACCACTGAAATCTAATCAGTTTATCCTTGAGCCCAAGTGGACGTTGGTGTATTTGAAGAAATCCCCTCACAGTATTCCTGAGATTCATGAGGGCGCAGATGGACAACCTGAAAACACGATGCGTCCAGCCGCGGCTGCTGCCAGCACCGAGACAAACAAATGAAGAACATAAAGATGACCAAGCTAAAATAAAGAAGAACGATCCAATGCAGGTTTCAAATCTTTGCTAGTTGATTTTTATCAAACTGAACTGAAGTTTTTCACCTGTTCATTTGTGCTGATGAAGACTGAGCTTTACAGATTCTCTGAGCCCGTTGACAGAAGTGCTGCAGTTTATTCACCACATGCAGCTCTGGGAGAATCATAACCACTCTTCATACAGACTGAGTCACACATGTTGTTTAACAACCACACAATCTTTAAATGGAGCTTTAATTAAACCCTCTGGAGTCTGTTTGCTCCTTTTATTTGTGTTTCATGTAGAGAGAAGCTGAGAAACCAGCTGAAAGTGCTGATGTGGGGCTTTCTCAGTGTCTCATAGTAACGCAGCAGCACCAGGTTTAAAAAGTGGCTGCTGGTATATATGTCACTGTTGTTCTAGTGGCATGTGTTGACTCCTAGTGGTGTGCAACTGGGGCTACTGGTACATCCTCCTGCATACCACTCCCCAGCAGATAGTGTTTTACAGGTACTGATTTGATGAATGTGGCTACGCTAACGCTACATGCATGTATATTGTTAGAGCTGCATTGATTAACCCTACACATGCATGTTTGTTTTGTTATTGTGGTTTTTGTTCTTCTTAGCATCAAACAAACCACAACCCAGTAAAGACAAACCAGTCTGACCAGTACACAGAACAGCAGGGAATGATTTACTGAGGTACAAATGAGAAGACAGATGATATAAACATAGAACACAGTTGAAGATCCAGTCGATAGGTTTGTTCAGAACTGTCCATTCTTTTAGTCTCATACTTGTCTTACTGGTCAGCGACACTGGTTTATCTCCTCAGTTTGCTGGGAGGGAGGTGCGGCAGCTCTCACACCAACCAAGTGCCTCTGCTGAACACAAGGAACCAGAGCTGGTGACAAGATGCAGAACATCCACCTCAACAGCAGGAAAACAGAAACCGAACGTCTGACTCAGTGGGAAGTAAATATTTCTTAAATGTATTTTCTATAAGGTGGAATTTTCTCCCCAAATAGGATTTTAGCCCTAAAATGTCAAAGTCAAAATGTCTGGCAGTGTGTCAGTCAGCTGCAGGTCTCTACCAACACGACGACATTTGTCACACAACACTGAAAAAAATGACCTTTGGTGTAAAAATATAAAATACCTGTTTAAATGTTTGTGTAGTGATTCAATCTTTGTGAGAGTTCAGAGAAGAGAGACCCGACTTAGACCATGATGGTGGACTGCCAACCTCGGGGTTAAGGTTCAGGTCGGGTTAGTCTCAACTCCCTGGAAACGCTGGCTGCTTCCTGCCAAGGCTGGCCATCCACCAGCTTGTCTGCAGGCAGGTTCTCTTGGTTAGAAGCCATTTGTTCTTAACATCACAAAAAAACAAACAGAAAAACATTTTTTCCATTAATGTTAGATCAGCTAACCTCATTACTTTTAAATCATTGCTTAAAACACACTTATTTGCCTTGGCTTTTAATAATCAGTAGGGCCTGATGCATTTCTTATAATTTACTGAATGTATGTCATCTGTGTCTGAGTTATTGTGCCGTTTTATTTTCCCACTGATCTTATTTTTAGTTATATATTGTGATTTTATTCTGCCTTGTAAAGTACTTTGGTCAACTGGATGTTTTTAAAGTGCTATATAAAGAAATCTGATTTGATTTGATGTGGTGACACAAGGTTCTAGGTCCTCCTGGGAATCACACATGAGACAATCAACAACAGAAGAACAGTGTAAAACTCACAGCGGACTCCATTTTCCCACCTCCTCCCATGAGTCTTTATGGTCGGTGTGAGGAGGGTGGAGTCGCGGCCCGGCGTGGTGTTTCCCGCCACAGCAGTGGCAGGTCATGCCACAGCGGTAGCACGCCCTCAGGGGGGCGTAGCAGCACATACAGGGCGCCAGCAGTGACAGACCCACCAGCGCCGTCCAGCGCAGGCAGAAGCGCTCGTCGCTGGTGTCACAGGAGCACGGGTCGGAGTAATCCCCCTCTGGGTCTGACATGCAGTGGTACAACAGGCTGTCTGCGCACCACATGAAGCTGACTCGGCGGATGCAGGTCTGCATGGGGTCGGGGGCTTCCTGGCAGCGGCCCCGCCCGTTGTCCTCCTCGTTGAACATGTCCTGACAGTAAACGCAGCGTGAACGCTCACCATTCTCCTTCTGCCATTTGCCTTTGGACTGCAGAGCTCGCGGCTGCCCCATCACCACTGCTCTGTGGCCCCCATCTGGCTCCATGCAGCTGGGTTTACCGTCACAGCTCAGTGGGTACGGGTACGTGTAGGCGTGTTTGGGCAGCTCACTCTTGGAGAAGTGCACATAGGCGTTGGGGTTGGTGGGCTGGGTGAGTTTGTCTGGTGTGGAGTTTGTGTGGCGGTAGTCCTCGTAGCCGGTGAGCCAGGTTCGCTCATGGGGGTTGATGTGTATGATCTCCTCGTCCTCAACCTGGAAGCTGACGTGATGAGGGAACATGCGCACGGCCTGCAGGGACAGAGATGGCAACTCCTTAAAAAGTGCTCAAAGTCTCATGAGGTACTTTTCTTGTAGTAGTTTTACAAGGCTTTGTGGGTTAGCCACTGAGCCAGTGTTGCCCAGCGCCTACTCATGGTACTGCAACAAAAAAATAAAAAATAAAAACAAGGCCAGTTACTCTTTTTAATCCATGGAGATTTTATATTTGTAAAACTTCCCCAAAGCCTAGAATATGAGGTTTTATGTTGTGACATCATCATATGTGGCCGGGGGCAGTGGGGGAAATACTAATGCGCAGGTGGCCCTTTAATGCAGAAGCAAACCCAGAAGAGAAATAATTTAGGTGTACAGTAGGTGGCACGAGAGAAACTGTCATTCAACTGACTGGCCGCCATGTTTGAGTCCGGAATCCAGTTTAGCCTTAGTACATCCATGAAGTGAACCCTACCTTTACAGGTTTCATTCACTTGTATTTGAGGGCCTTATACTAGCGCCCCCTTGTGTCCAGGCAGGAACTCATCAAGGGTTTCACCGTGTATGATTTAAAGAAACCATCGTTCTAGTTCTGAGCTGTTAGTGGTGCAACGGATCAAAAAACTCATGGTTCGGATCAGATCATGGTTTTGAGTCACGGATTGGATCAATTTTCAGATCAGTAAAAAAATGAAAAAAGACTTACTTGAACATGGGGAGTGAAATAAAAACTATGGTTTATGTTAGTGGTGCAACGGGTCACTGTTGATCCGAGATCCGAACCAACCCCTCTCCACGGTTCGGTACGGTAGTTACAACTAGACCCAAACCTGAACCCATTAAACACCTAGGAGTCCTCTGGAGCGTCTTCTCCGTACACATCTGGTGCAGTTTCAGAGAGGAAGTGTTTGCTTCGCTTTTTAGACCCTCTTTTTACCACACACATCTTGTCACCTGACAACCAGATATTCCAGGTGTCAGACTTTTCTTCTAGAGGATGACAGTGCTCTTAAAATTCCCTTCAGCTTCACTACACCACACACCAGATTTATTTTTTACTTTACCATGTTTTATTTGCTCTGATGCACAAACAAAAAGAAATGAAACAATCAGATTAGTATCACTTCAGTAACATTTAACACCGTAGCAACACAGTGTATAATAATGAATGTAATTTTTAAAAACCCAGTTCAACATGTGCATTTTGCTGTTAAAGAATAAACTGAGCCTCTGACTCCACTCACCTGGTCCAGGAAGTAGTGATCAGAGGGCCGGTGCTGCTCATAGAAATGTCCCAGGACGCAGTGGTGCCGCCGAGGCTCACAGAAGTGGGGCGGGGCCAGCGTGTGCTCTCTCTTCTGGGACGAGTTGGACGAGCTGTCAGTGGCGGTCTAGAGGAAGAGGAGGCGAGAGAACAGGTGAACACAGGTCAACCTACCTGGAGATTAAAGGGTCAAGTCACAGGGCAGGAAACTACCGCGAGTTCAGACACTGAGACCACGCCCCAATCTGTGACATCACTACAGGTGAGTTGGCTTTGGAAACACCTGCAGTGACCCAGGAAGAAGCAGAGTGGCAGTTTGCAGTCCTCATTTGGTCATTTTTTTGGACAAATACTTGAACAGAATGTCTGTGTATCCTGCTTTTGCACAGCCACGTCGGACGAAGTGACAGCACAACACTTCAGTGACAGTGAAATATGAATTTACCAAACATGAGCTGAACATGTCCTGTTAGGTCTGGGTTCCTCTCTGAACCCACCTGAGCTCACGTCAGTTCTGACCCTCCACCAGACGTCTGTGTACAACAGAGGCAAAACAGAAGACGTCAGTAACCACAGCAGCGTGATGGCTTTGTCAAGTCAACATTTATTTGTATAGCACTTTACGACAACCAACAGATTGACCAAAGTGCTCTACATGTCAAAAATAAAATCTAATAGACACAGAAGAACAAGTGAAAAAGTGTCAGCGCTCACCTGGAGAACTAAAAGCCAGTTTAAATAAGTTTTTAACTCGGATTTAAAAGAAGCCACATCCAACACTGGTGCCAGGCTTTTCCACAGTCTTCCCATCTTTGGCACCTAGTTCTTGGAAATTCTAACAAGCCCTGACCAGATGGCCTACTGTAAGCACTCTGCAGTGTCTAAACGTGTTTAAAAGCTCAGTGAGATACGAAGGGTGAGACCATTTAAAGCTTTAAAAACAAACATTAATATTTTGAAGTTGACCCTAATACGAACTGGGAGCCAGTGGAGGGAATATAAAATAGAAGGGATGTGGTCACGCCTTGAGGTGTGGCCATATTTTGTACCAGCTGAAGGCGAGAGAGAGAAGGTTGGCCAACTCCTACGTTGAGAGCATTACGGTAATCCAGCCTGGAGCTGATAAAAGCATGGATAGCCTTTTCAAGGTTGCTTTAGTTAAGGAAGGGCTTGAGCTTAGAAAGCAAACAAAGCTGAAAAACGCTCTTTTTCCACAGAGCTAATCTGTCAAGGTTGCTAGCAAGGATTACTCCTAGGTTTATCACTGTGGGTTTGAGGAAAGAGACCCAGTATCTAATCCCGAGATGCCGGGCATAGCAGAGTCGCCAAATAGTATGTGTTTGGTTTTACTTTCATTCAGATACAGAATATGTTGTGTCAACCAGGCTTTTATTTCATTTAGGCAGTCAAAAAATGTCAGCACTGAGTGACCCCTTTGCAGACTCATAGGCAAATAAACCGGAATATCATCTGCGTAGCTTCACTGTCCTCGGAGTTGTCACAAACTGCTGCTATCATACTCAGAGTTTTGTGAGCTCATGTGGATCACACAAGAAGACTTCACCGAACATCAGAAGAGTGACGAACTGAAGTGTGTGCAGAACCTGCTGCACTGAATCCCAAACTCCTCCACAGCTGTCTCCAAATTTCTGGGTTCGCTTTCACTCCACCATTTGCAAATACAGGGAAAAGCTGCCATAAAAGACAGACACATCAAATCCTAGCACATCAAATCCTCACTGCAAACAAACAAACATTGCAGTCTCGAACCCAAAATAAACCGTCTCCTCCCTGTTTCAAACCAAACTCCTCATGTTACCATACAGAAAGCTTGACAGGGAAAACACTCGCCTCACTCAGACAGTTTGGTAGATATCCTCAATAGCCAATATTCCCCAAACTAGGCAGATAAACAGGAGTCACAGTGGTGCAGAAGAAATGACCTGATCGTGGACTACGCTCAGATTCTGAAGGTGTCCTGGAAGCGTTTCTCACCGTGAAGACATCGTCATCACCGAGCTCGGCCTCATTCTGCGGCGTCGATGAAGATGTGGTTGATCCTGGAGGACAGAGAGGAGGGTCAGTGTGAGGCTCAGGTCGCCTATGAAAGACAGGCCCACGGTTCTGACTTTAAACAGCAGTGTAGTGTCCAGATTTAGTGATGGTCCCCCTGTTGGGGCACTTTCAGTGTAGCCACAGTGATGTGGGACAAACCCACTTATCACCTGGCACAAAAAGATTTAGAGACTATCTGGCAGTCAAGTGGATGTCTTCCAAACATAACGTCTTGTCAGAATAACAGTTCCTCTTTGTTCAGCCACAGTGAAGACCTCAGAACAATAGGAGGGAACTTTGGACTTCCACTTGACTGCTCCAACCTAGGCTGCCAAAACGTCATAGTAACTTCAGATAAGCTTCCAGTTTAGATATCCAAAGTAAATAAAGTGTGTGCACCTTCTGTCAGGTCCTCCAGGGCCTTCCTCACCCCGCGGTTGAAAGCTCGGGCATCAGCAGGGCTCTGGAAAGTCAGCCCACACTTCCTGTTGTCCACCATCCAGTGGTGGAACGTTGGTGTGGCCTTGGTATAGACCAGATCCTTCTTTAGGAAACACTGCAGAATCACCTGTAGAAGAACAATGCATCTGAAGATGTTATGGCAGGCAGCCGGAGTGGACACAGTGGAGTACACTGGTCACTAGTTCCCCTGTAAAACCTCAGCACGTTCACATATCAGCCCGAAACCTGGTCCAGAGTAGGAACCAGGAAATGTGAAATATTATTCATACTTGACTGGGTTCACAAAGAAAGTGTATATTCAATGCCTTATGTTTTAACTAAATAAAAGAAGTTATGTTCTGTGAGGTTTACATGAGAAGTAAAAATCAGGTGCACACATTCTGTCAACGGGGTTAATGTGTCTCAGCAGAAACAGACTCCGACATTAGACTGAGTGCAGTGACGTCCCTGCCCACGCCGGGCGCTGCCGGACCCACCTGTCTGTCTTTCAGGCGTTCTCCGTGGATGAGGAAGCTGTTGCGTCCCAGCAGTTCGGTCGGCAGCAGCCTGCACACGCCCACTCTGCTCAGGCAGCCGTCCTGCGCCAACCAGCCGCCACTTGAATTGTCTCTGGTCATCACCACTGCTTTCACACACACGATGTAGCTGTCACTGCAACGGACCAGACAGAACAATGGAGCACCAGTGAGCAATGTGCCCAACTGGAGGGGGGCACACACACAGGAACAGAGGTACTTCGTAGTTCACAGCTTTCTACCAAACCAGTTTAAATGTAGAAGACTCCTCTCTCTATCAGTTTCTGAGCTGCGAACCCCCCCCTGTCTCCGTCTTGTGCTCCCACATTTCCTGTACATCCGGTTTCTGTCACAGCACGATGGTCTCCGTTGATGAGCTGTGCTGCTGCTCAGCACCACAACAAAGGAGGCGGGAAGTGCTGCCTCGTCACACACACAGTGATTCAGCCTGCCTGTCAAATAGATTGTGTGTGTGTGTGTATCATGAGTCATCGGTGCATTTGCTGGCAGCGTACAGTGACACACACACACACACACACACGGGAGGCACTAGACAACGCAGTTTGGTCTGTTTGCACAGACACTTGATGCAAAATGAGACATTCACTTTTTTTGTTCAATCAACTGCTGCTTCTTTTACAGGACTGCAGCCAGGGTTTAAAGACAGGTGGCCAGTCGTTCAGTCAGCCGGTTGGTCGGGTGGTCAGCAAATCAATTGGTTAGTCAGTCAGCCAGTTGGTCAGCTGGCCGATCAGTAAACTAGTCAGCCAGTCGGTCAGTCAGTAAACTGGTCAGTCAGCCAGTCGGTTAGCTGGTCAGTCCCTCACACACATCAGACCAGACATCTGCCACATGCTGGTTTAGCTCCACATTCAGGTAGCAGCAGCTCCACAGCTGATTCCTTGGTGAACAACCCCCAGTCTCTGCCAGCAGGCCACAGGGAGAGAACTGGAAAACTCCAGGTTTACTGGGACCTGACCCAGACTCTAACTCGGAGAGTGAGAACAGCCTCAGAATAATGAGTCAGTGACACCGGTGTTGTTGGGCCTGTTCTAAAAGCTCTGAGCTGCAGCTCGACTACGTCAGATGAACCATAATGTTGAACAACGCAGTACTCTCCATCTGAGACAAAGACTTGCACTACGCTCGGCCCCCATCAGGTCACATTTTAATCCCAGATCCAGCCCGGTCCCAGGACCTCTGACACTGGGCCGGAAAGGGTTAACTGAGGCTGCCGTCTGTGAGGTGCCTCTGTGGGTGGGGCTGCAGCTCTAGGAAACCAGTCAGAGCTGTAATAGTGAGTTTTATTACTACTGCCACTTTTGTACTTTGACTTCGGTCACATGTTCACTTTTAACAGAAAGCAGGTCATGTATCTGAAGTAAGTCTGGCTCAGTCCTGGTTCACTGTTAGAAGCAGGTCATGTATCTGAAGTAAGTCTGGCTCAGTCCTGGTTCACTGTTAGAAGCAGGTCATGTATCTGAAGTAAGTCTGGCTCAGTCCTGGTTCACTGTTAGAAGCAGGTCATGTATCTGAAGTAAGTCTGGCTCAGTCCTGGTTCACTGTTAGAAGCAGGTCATGTATCTGAAGTAAGTCTGGCTCAGTCCTGGTTCACTGTTAGAAGCAGACTGACAAGAGCGATTTAACCTGAGTCGCACAACAACACACACATCTCACACCTACAACATGGCCCGTGTACGAGGAAAACTGGATTAGCAGCCAAGCTCACAATGACGATCTTGTTTACAAAACCGATGTCACACCGTTCGTCCGCCTGTGCGCTTTGTGTTGGGCTTCCTACAGAAGATCTCATGAAGTCAACAGGTTTCTGTGGCTGACCCAGAGTTTCAATGTCTGAGTTTCACATAGCACACAAACGCACCGAGCTGCTCACAGCTGCATTACAAGGCATCAGAACCACTCACTATGCCACCTGGACAAAAGACATGAAGACGCTTTGATGCTGGGGGATCATGTGTCAACCAACAGCTGCCTGCGGCCTTCAGCGGTGTCGACCTCCTGATAACAGCATGTAGCTCATCACTTTAGTAAAAAAGTGGGAAAAGCTTCAGTGTTGGGGGTGAATGTCCATGTCCAACAACTTAAAGCATCCATGGGGTCAACACTCAGACAGGACTTCCCCTGGAGCGGGGACCAGATTGTGAGCCCCCGCCACTGTTCTCACTTTGGCCCAAAATCACTCGACATGCAGGCGTGTGGCACCGCTGAGTTGAGCCTGGAGGAAATCAGTCTCCCATTGGTCGTGTCACGCTGTCGCTCGGACGCTGACCATTGCTGCAACCCTCTGTTGCTTCTGCTGGAGGGTAGAGTTTCTGGGAGGAAACAGTTTGGATGGTGCATAGAGAAGCTAAATTCATCCTGAAACAAGAAGCCGTCTGGTGAACAGACAAACAGGCCTCTTCCACTGCAGGAACATGTAATGGAACTTAGTTCCACACAGTCAAGTCCATGTCGTCCTGTGTGGGTGGGGGTTAGTTCCACACAGTGACACACAGTGAAGTCCATGTCGTCCTGTGTGGGTGGGGCTGGAGTCTGCTGACCTTTCCATGATGTCACTGTCAAGCGCTCCCCTCCCCGTGACATTAGCCACTGCTGTCTGCTGCTCGGTCATAGAGAACACCCCCACAAACCCGCCAGGACACGTCCTCCCACAGCCAACCCGCTGAGCTGGCCCCGGAGCTGCGGTGTCGAAGCACATCTCTAACTCAGAGCTGTCTGCTGTTGAGGTCGGCGGCGTGAGGCGGCCTTTCTCTTTGTGCAGCTGCTCCTAAAGCAAAACACACTTACGTTCACCGGTGTCTCTTTTTTGTCCTCACCATTTACATACATGAGGGGGTCAGAACATTAGGAAGACCTCTGAATATAAAGCAATCCAGTACGACCACAGCATGTTTGTGAGACCCAGTGGGTGCATCAGCGCTGTAGCCAGCTTCTCTCCTCTGTGGCTTCAGCTGCACAGACAGACGACACGGTTTCCAGATGTCCTAGTCACTAAATCAGACTGAAACTGTAGAAGGGGCCGGAACCGGTTTGGGTTTAAAGGTGACCCCAGTGAGCGTACACCTCTGACCCAAAGAGCCACCTGCTAGCTGCCTCTCTCTGGTGCACTCTGGGTAAACGCTCAGCAAGCTGAGTCCATGAGTCATGTGTTTACCTGCAGGGGTGTGCACAGCGTGAGCAGGCTGACTGCTGCCTACGCTCTCCACCCAGGACAAAGGATCTGCTCTGCTGAAGGCTTGGCATCCATGATATCATCAAGTACTTGTGTCATAAACGTGACCTGAGTAAAGCACTGGCGTGCAGCTGTGCACGGAACTGCCCTCGTTAGCGTTTTCATTTGTCCTGTACATCACTACGTTTTTTAATGAGTGAAACTTTTTCCTAAACTTTGGTTTTAGGTGCCATAAAGTGCGGGGGCCAGCTGTTTATAATGCTCCTCAGAGTGCGACCACTGAGGATTAAAAAGGACCGGTGGCGTGTCTGCGCTGTGGGTATGCGTGAGGCCGCCGCCACCTCCTCTGTCAGAAGGCACGCGCCTTCTCTGCATCCGACCTCAGCCAACCTCTACATCCTCCTTCTCGCGACCAGAGAGGAGAAGGGGGAGGATGAGGAGGGCCCCTGCACCCCTCCATCACCTGAGCCCACAACACCAGCACTAGTCCGCATCCATGTGATCCCCGATCAAACCTCAGCGGAGACGCATCTAATGAGTGTGTTAATAATGAGACGTGGTGTTATTATGGGGTGGCGGGGGTACTCACTCGTCTGGGCGCGTGTCCTCGCTCATGTTTTCCGTTTCACCTCCGGTAATAATAAGCTCCCGCCACGGCTGCACAGTGCGGGGTCTTCATATTTCCTCACCGCGCAGCGGCGGGGGGGGGTCAGCCGCTCTCCGCTCGGTTCTGTAATTCCGGTGTTTATTCTGTACTCTCGGATCCCCGTCTCTCCTTCTCCTCTTCGGCTTCTCCTCAGTTACTGGAGCCCATCCGATCTCCTCCTGCGTTTTTCTTCCTTTTCTTCTTCCTTCTCCTCCACCTCCACCCCCGCAGGGCCGGACTGGAATTCGGTGACCGAAAATGGTGCGTTGGTGTCGTTGAGGATGGTCCCAGACGAGCCCATGTCCTCACTCCATGTTGGATTGGGGGGGCGCTTGACGTCAGACCCGAAGGACTGCAGAGTCACGTGCTATTACCATATGACAACAACAACAATCATCATCATCACGATATAGAGTAGTACTCTATAGAGGATTACATGGAGTGACGTCACAGTATGAAGTAGCAGGGTATGGAAATACTCAGGTAAAGTACAAGTACCTCAAAGCTGTACTTGAATAAGTTACTGCACTTGAGAAAATGTACTGCGTTACTTTCCAGCACTGGTTACAAAAATCCTTATTGTTTAAAAGTATCACATCAACTAGAGGCAATGGTAGCCTACTGTTAGGCTGGTATTGGTTGTAGTAGCCTAATGGTGAGTGGTGGTAGTAGAAGTCAATGTCAGCCTACTCTTAGGCTGGTATTGGTTGTAGTAGCCTAATGGTGAGTGGTGGTAGTAGAAGGCAATGGTAGCCTACTGTTAGGCTGGTATTGGTTGTAGTAGCCTAATGGTGAGTGGTGGTAGTAGAAGGCAATGGTAGCCTACTCTTAGGCTGGTATTGGTTGTAGTAGTGGTGGTAGTAGAAGTCAATGGTAGCCTACTGTTAGGCTGGTATTGGTTGTAGTAGCCTAATGGTGAGTGGTGGTAGTAGAAGTCAATGGTAGCCTACTGTTAGGCTGGTATTGGTTGTAGTAGCCTAATGGTGAGTGGTGGTAGTAGAAGTCAATGGTAGCCTACTCTTAGGCTGGTATTGGTTGTAGTAGCCTAATGGTGAGTGGTGGTAGTAGAGGTCAATGGTAGCCTACTGTTAGGCTGGGATTTGTTGTAGTAAGC